TATTCTCAATTCATCTGTAACACTCAGAAGAGAAAATAACCATGATGCCCTCATTGCTATGAGTTGCAACAGAAGAATATGACATCTCTCCTTGTTTTTGAGAAAGAATGTCACCCAACTGTTTATACAATCAAATTTCATAACACAGTATATCTATGTATATCAATGAAACACCCAACTTGACATTTGCTTCCTGTGTATGATTCTTCTTTCTTGTTTTCTATTTTTAATAACATTTATCCGTAATGTTTTTTTCTTCACAACCAACTACAAATCAGCCTTCTACCTTAGACTCTCAATGGTTGTTATCATTTATGAGTTTGTTCAAGAGAGTGGTTAACAAGGCATCCCTTCTCTCAGCTCGGCTCTCCTCTCTCATCCTCCGTTGTTCCTCTTTATCCCTCCATGCCTGCTCAAGTATTAACCTCTCCCTCTCGAGCTTCTCCATTGACTGTCGCCAATCCTGTTCAAACAGCTGGCGTTCGCGTGCTCGCCTTTCCGCCATCTCCCTCCATTGCATCTCCATCTTTTGTTGCTGCTGAAAAAATTCTTTGAGCATTTCATGAATACTAGAACTATTACTACTGCCAGCGATTAAACTAGTGGCTGTTCTAGAGGACTTGTCCAAAACAGTTCTCCCAGCTTTCTTCTTCCGAGAATGGCTTCTTGAAGGCTTTTCCTCCTCACTTTCATCCTCCTCTTCATCTTCATATTCAGAGAACTCCTCAGAGGATCTATCCCCACTTAATGCTCTCTTCATCTTTTTCTTCGCCTGGGCTAAACCTGCCTCAGAATCAAGCAGCATACGTTGTGTTTTCTTTGGTTTTTCATTGAATACTGCATGTAGTTCCTCAAAGAATGGACACTGCCGGCCAGCATCAGGATCAGATGTCTCCTTCCCCTGCTATATTTAAAAAAATAAAAAGAAAAAAGGAACCCATTCTCAGCTGAGATTAAATGGAAAAACAAACTTATTTCGCTTTCTATTCTGAAAGCTAGACACATGAAGAATATCGAACGAAGACATTTAAGCAAATTTGATTCACTTCATAAAAGAACAGAACAGGTATACAAAGGTTGAACCTGTTCCAAACCCTTTTAAGTAATCATAGAAACAACACCATACAACAACAACTGATTAGGATTCACTGCAGCACTCCAATTATTCATCATAAACCATAATAAAGTCGAAATTTTGAGGATTGCCCATCAATAAATCCAACACAGTCAAGAACAGAGAAAATGGGGACTATCGCAACGCATTGATCATTCTAAAAAGATGAACTGCACCCAGAAACAAAGAAAGAACAAAAGCAAATTCATTTCCAATCACTGAACTTTCAAGACCTCTGAAAATGCCGAAAATACACAAGCTTCCAGTTACCTTGTAGCGGCTAAGTAAATTTTTCCACTTGCACTTGCACTGGTCAGGAGTTCTGATGTAACCTCTCTCCCTCATTCCGGCACTGACGACTTCCCACAGCGCCTTGGTACGCTTCGACACCGTGAAGTCTCTCTCCAGCTCACCACGGATCGCAATCAACTCACGGGTCTCCTCCTGCCCCCACTGCGGCTGCTGGGTCGGCTGCTGTGAACTCAAAATCGATGACGCCATCATGCCTATCCGCCCCAGTGGCTCGGTTTCGCCTCCACCGAACATATTCGGGGCAAACAATGGCCAGATTCCGAGAGAAAGTTAGGGATTTTAAAGGCTCTGTTTCTTTCCCTTTTTAGACTTCCGTTTCATCTCTTCTTGTTAACCAACCAGGTGTGAACACGGGTTTTCCTTTTCGGGGGCGACGGTGTGAACACGGGAAATTTATAGGTAATGAAAGGGAGTTGTATTTCACCAAAAAACAAAAAAAAAGGGAGTTGTAAACGTGGTCGTTTATGACGAGACGTATCTATGGAAATAATTGTTTTATATCATTTTTATTATAATTTTTATATTTTTTTTGAACATGTTATAATTTTTATATATTATTAAATAAATAAATATATTTAATATTATAAATTTTAAATAAATAAAAAATTAATTATTTAAATTATATATAAAATTTTATTAAAAAATAATATTAAATTATCTCAAAATCTTTTTTTTTTTCTTGGGTAAATAAGTTGATGGTTGTATTTGGTATCCCTATAATACCCCTACATTTGAAAACTGATCTCTTTTGTCAATGCCGGTATCATGTGCGTAGGGGAAGGGACAAAGAACAGGGACAAGGAACAGGGACAGGGACAGCCAGAACAAGCCTCATTTCTTTTGTGATATATTCAGGGTTTAATTGTTTAAGTTTTGAGATTTGTATTAAAAAAATTACAATAAATTTTTTAAATGTATAAGTTAATTTAGATAATATACCTTTAAAAAAAAAAAAAAAAAAAAAAAAAAAACATAGTATGGATAGGTTTAAAAATTGATTTAAATACATTTAGTGATGAATAAAAAAGGGAAGGAATAAAAGTAGGGAGCAAGGACTACAAAACAAACGACATAATTGTCAACAAGGTCGGTAGGAGAACGGGACAAATTGATAGCTAGGTAGC